GTGCAGGTATAGGGTCTGTCTCAACACCTAACTGTCACTGTCTTTTCGCAAAAAAAAAAAAAAAAAAAGCTACAAACAATATATATATATAAGTACACAGAAGCCAACATCTGAGTTTCATAGACTGCTCATGTTCATGAGATACTATGCACCACATAGAGTATGGCTGACCTTCGGTCTGGTAGCTAACCCAACTCTGCGGAGCCCTTCACAGTCTGCCAGGAAGGAGGTCCTCCAAGATGCTTGCAACACATGACCTCCTCAGCATACCCCAGGGAAAGCTACATCTGTACTACGGCAGAACCAGCCATGCTCTGTGGGCAAGCTACACTTTGATGGTCTCAGCTGTGAGATGAAGATTACAGTAGATTTGAAGATTAAAAAGCAATGTGTGCATGAGAGAATGGAACCTGGTATTTCACATGGGCAACATAGATACTGTTGAACTTTTTAAAGTGTCCTTTTCTGGAATGTAGAGAACAGAAAGAAATAGTAAGTAACGAGCACACCATAACATATCACAGCTTTGCAGCAGATATTATTAAAATATGTTTTAAAACACAAAGTACTTCTCAAATGTTTTAGCTTCCTTAAGGTGACTAAGCAAATGTGAGAGCCAAGACTGATTTAAGATTGTGATCTTTGTCCTCTACAAAATGCTTAAGATAGATGCCGTCTCATCAGTGCTGTGATGGAAAATTAAGGATCTCAGACATGCAAATCTTCTCTGTATGTGGGAAGTGGCACACAATATAGAAGACAACTTTATACACTACAGTTTATGTTTCTTTTAGTATTTATGGTTAATGAATGTTTCAAATATTCAAGGTTAATCAAAATAAATTTCCCGAGTACATTTGTTTGAAAGAATGAATCTACTAGAATTCTAACTTTGTATTATTTTCCTTTGACTAAAATAAAAGAGACTTTTAGGAGCTCCTTGGCACAGGCTTACATCAGACCCATTTAGTTTGAAAATAGTATGATAAATTCCATTACCCATACAACCCACAACCCTGTAGTCTTTTGAGATCAAGATCAGCATTTTTCTAGAGGTAACTTTAACATGCAGATCTCCAAGGGGCATCACAGAGTGGCTATTGCAAGGATAGTTTAATGTGTATTAAGTGCAGAGTGAGACAGTGTGAATACTTTGTCAAAGCATTTCTTATAGATTTTACTCTTAGTATTTTGTCTCCTGTACCTATTTTGAACAGTCCCTCCTTTACTTCTAGAGTTCCTCTTAGTTGGAAACTGAGAAAAGTGAAATCTGAAGTTTCTAGTAGAGAAAGGATTTCATTTGCTAAACTACTTCATTTGCATCTACTTCTAAGGGTGCTGGGGACTAAGTAAATAAAGACATCAAAACTAAATAAATGAAGACATCAACTATGATGGGAAGGAGAGGACCTAGTCCAGAGATAGATGTGATTCATTCTCAGGGAAAAGAAAACTTACCTGAGGAATTCACACAGGGTAACAACCAGATCACACTGGTACTGCAGTTATTTTGGGGATGAAGACAGGAGAATGTAAGCCTGAAGCAGGAAGCAGGGAGCCTTGGTGTGATAGGTTCCTGACTCAGAGCAGAAGTGTCAGGAGGCAGACCCTGGGACTCCGACCAGATAACCCCTGGGGATATGGAGGGCATGCCAAGTCCCATGGGCATCGAAGCTGCAGGAAGTGCTCAGTCGCTCTCCTGCCGCCACCGTATCACTCCTGTGAGATCAGTTATGGCCCTGTAACTTGTTCAGGCCAGGAAAAACTCAGATCCACTACAAAGGACACTTGAAAGTTCAAAAATTAATTCACTATTCTCGCAACCTAGTTCAAGGCAATACAACTTGCTCTTGTATTTTGGATCCAGTCATTTTCAAAGTCTTGGTACAACTATTATAAAGTTGTTCAAAATTTATGTCTTTAGTTCACACTCTGAAATGGTAAAAGTTGAAAGGCTGAGTTCCTGGGAATCTCAGAGTGAACTGTACTTTAGAATCACTGAATGTGGGGAATTCAGTCATCTCGTCCCTTTACTTTAAAAGTGAAATTAAAGCTGGGTATACACAATGCAACAGGCGACTTGCTCATGACCACGTAACTTATTCAGGTTAGGAAAAAGTGAGATCCACTTTTCTGTATCCACAGCAACCAAGTTCAGGGCAATGGCTCTGCCAGCCCAAATCCCAGAGTCCAAACAACCTAAGGCAGGGGTCCTTTCCCACAATGAAGTCTGATACATACCCATATCAAGCTGAGTAAACAAACCTTAGCTTTTAGCCCACTGAAAACAGAAGATACACAGCAGCCTAATTTCACCTGCCATGAATCTAGTAAGAAAAATGCACGGTCATCACAGATGTGTGTCCAGTTAATCACCGTACTTAGCAACACGCAAATTCTTAAGTTCAGATATCCACTATAATGCACAGTGAGACCTGCAGATACAAGTTTCCACCAAAGACAATGTGAGGAGGGAGAAGTTTTATCTATTTCCCAGAAGAGATGATGGGAGAAAAAAAAATGTAAATAAACCTGAAGAATTTTACTTTGTATAACTTAAGCACCAATAGTATAAAGTGCTATTTTCTATTTTGAGAGTCTCAAATGTTGTGTGTTGGCATGCTAATCTCTTTCTAGCACATGATGGAGAATTAAAGAATTATGGTTAATAATTAGATGCAAAGGGAGCCCCTCTTTGTCTTCCATATACTCAACTTTTATGACTGGCTTCTGCCTCTAAAACATAAACTACCTTGGCCACCAGTAATATGATGGGCCAGGCAAAATAATGCCTTCAAAGCATTAGCTTAATAGACACTCATGACTCTACAGCATTTTAGAAATGAGGAAGCATGGAGTTCACACAGCAGGAATCAAGCGAAGATGATTTTCAAAGCCCGTGCTTTTCGTGACCTTTATACCTAACTTCCTCTGAGAGGTAAATATTTTATTCATGATCATTGAGTAAATGAGAAAAAGTATCTTCAACTGGAGGGAAGGGTACTTTCAAAGATTCAGTAGGAGGAAAGTAGAAAACAAAAGAAGCGTGTCTGGGTCTGTTCGACGGGTATGAGGCCCAGAGGGTGGATGCAGAACAGAGTTCTGGAGGGCAAAAGGGAAAACCCAGGCTAAAGCCAACATCACTGGACAGTTTTCTTCCTCTCACGGATCCTTAGCAAACACAACAAACTACTGAGGTTGAAAGGGCCCGTCATACTGGAAGACAGCTTAGGAGGATCAAAAGACGGTGTCTGGTGGCTTCCTGAGCCAGCCTGCTTCTCTTTTTGTTTGAGAATTTTATAGAAACGCAATCACATCAGCTGATTACAGGTTTAAGCTGCAGGTGACATTACAAGTCCCAGGATAAGGAAGGCTTCGATGCATTCTCCCTAAACAGGTAACAATATCCTCTTCGATGGAAATTTTTCTTCTTTTTCTCCTGATTCAGTAATGCCAAAATGAAAGGCTCCTGACCCCTATTAAACTCAGCTGCATACTGAGTAACTGTAAACTATTTCCACTTTTTCCAATTTAATATAAAGGCTGTAATGAATAAAAACCTTCAATATCCATGACTTTTTTAGATGCTAACTATTCCATGAAGAAACAGAGAGGGCCATAGGTTGAGGCTCTGTTAGGCCACAGTTCAAAGTTTGGCTCCACCACTGATTTACTTCCCAGGCTACCACGGGCAGTTGCAGTTACAACAGAACGAGCAAACAGGAGGTAGGGGGGAAAAAAAAAACAACTCAAGCCAGACTTTGCTGCACAGACATATGTATCATGTAATCCCAGTAGCCTATCAAACAAAATCCAATACTTTCCATCTTTAACAAATGTTAAAGAAGGTGCCGAGAGAAGAGACAACTTGGCCAAGGTCAGCAGACACTTAGGGCAGCAAGACTGCAGAATACCAGCCCGTGTTCTCACCTCTTCTAGGCAACAAGAGTCGATGCGTACCAGCTGAGAAAACGCAGATCCCTGGGAAAAAGCCTAGAACAGCAGTTGCTACATACTATGCAGGTAAGAAAAGATGCTGGGGGTGGGGGGGCTGGAGACAGCACATTACCAAATTAAACTCTACACGTTCCTGGGTGCCAGTCAGTTTTCAAAGTCTTGGTGTGGCTCGATCTTTTACAAGGCTGATCAAAATCCATGTTCATATTTGGCTATGTGAAACGGTGAAAGGCTGAGGCCAAGTTTACTGCTGTATCTCAATACTTCATGCAGTTTCCTTTTGGTTGAAGGGCTACGTACCTGGGAATCGCAGGTGTGAACTCTAGAATCACTGACTGTGGGAAACTCAGCCATCTAGCCCCTTTTCTGTAAAAGTGAAGTCAAAGCTGTACACGGGGGCTCACACTTGTAATCCAGCACTCAGGAGGTTGAGGCAGGAGACTTGCTGCTACTCTGAGGCCAAACGGAGCTACCCGGGTGAGTGCTAAGACAGCCAGGGCTAACACAACAAGGTCAGGTGGGTTTAACAATTCCATCTAAGGCCATGAAGTTTCCCACCAAGCGGGCCCCACCTCACCAGCGGTGTTTCTACCCTTCGGTCAGGTGCACTAGCTGTAGAAGTGGCTGGTCACTGTTTTATTGGCCACCCAGATAACTTCAAAATAGAATTCTAAAGAAATCTAAACGGGATTCTCAGCATTTGCATAGTATTACAGCAGATTTACTTTTAAGAAGCCTATTAGAAACTTAGGACACTCCAAGAACTGGGGTCTCCTGTTGTCTCCTCCACTGCTAAAACAAAAGCGACCCACAGCCCTAGGTAACCAGAAACCAGAATCAAAACCCTGATGCATTTGAGCAGGGCAGAGAGAAGACTAGGGAAGGTCAAGAGATAAAGCCTTACTTACTACCCAAGCGCTGCCAGCATACAGTGACAACGGGCACTCTTTTCTTACCTGCCTCTTTCTCGGGGTACCACGAAAACGCCAACGACTCTTCGCTGCTGGGAGGGGAGGGGCGGGAAGCGGAGGGACTCCACTTACCGAGAACACTGCATTCTGGAGCCCAAAGGGTATGGGAGTGAGCCGGGCCAGCGCCACCACCTTCAGGCCGCTTCCTCCCTCCACGACGCGGATAACGGCACTCAGCTTGTCGCTGCTCTGGATCCTGGCGGCCACCCAGGCGGTGAGCAGCCGCTTGCAGACCACATGAGCGATGAAGGTGCCGATGAGGACGCCCACCACCATGAGCCCCATGCCTAGCACGAAGCCGTACAGGTAGCCGGCCGCCACATTCAGCACGATGTAGCCCCAGCCGCAGGGGAAGGAGACCACGATGAAGCCCACCACGAAGAGCAGGACCCCGAGCAGCGAGTCGAGGCTCTCCACCCAGAGCAGGAGGTGCTGCAGGTAGCGGCGGACCAGGGCCAGGGAAGCGAAGCACAGGGCGGCCAGCACGCACACCAGCACGAGGCTCCGGCACCAACAGGTGCTGCCGAGGCAGCAGCAGCGCCAGTTTCTCACCTCGGCCACCCCGACCACCACGCCGCCGCCGCCGCCGCCGCTCCCGGGGCCGCCCGCCAACGCCCCGGCCGGCGCCGGCAGGTCCGAGGCCGCGGGCGGACCGTGGCGCTCCAGATAGGCGCCGAGCAAGGCGCCCGAGGCCGCCGCCGCCGCCGCTGCCGCCGCCGCCGCCGC